ATCATATTGTTCTGAAGTATTGCATATTTTTTACTGTCAGTCCGAGCCCACTGCCTGTAACTGGCCTCCGCCCCACTGTGATCCAGCCTTGGATTTTACTTCCTCTTTTCTAGAAAACTAAACCATTTGAATACATAATAAAAATTTAAGAAACTCACATCTGACTGAAATATCAAAATTCCACCATTGCTTTTTAACAGAAAAACCAGAAATAGACACTGATTTCACACAACACTATCAATGCCTTAAAATCAGAACATAAATCTTTATATTTAGAATACCTTATGTTGACTAACATGGATTATCATTGATTAGACATTGATCAAACAATTATCAGTCAAATCTTCACTTTTGTGCTTAAACATTTTTGTTACTTCCTCAGTATGGTGTGTGTCTCTGCTCTGTGTCACATACACACACTCCTGCAGTTCCTCATTTTAGGGATGTGTATCTACTTCCTCTTGTGTGATTCTGTACTTTTCACTCTGTTAGATATAAAATCACTTTTCCCCATCCTTTTAATACAACCATTTCTCATTTTATTTAACACATTCTCTACTGATTTCAAACAAAACATACATAAATCATTTTATGATTATCTTTACTTATTAAAAGCTTAACTTTTCTAAGCATTCTGCCACAGCATTTTAATAATAATTCCTTTGTCCTCTCCAACCTCCCCTGCAACTTCCTCTTTCTCCTCTGCCTTCTCAGTATCTCGGTGCTCTTTGAGGCCCGTAATTACAGCCTTGCTGACACTCCATTTATGGTAATTACTCTAAAACACTTTTTGTCAGGAATCATTTTGAAACACTGAATGAATAAAGAGGTGTCATTACATACAGGTGCAGCTCAATAAATTAGAATATCGTGGAAAAGTCCATTAATTTTGGTAATTCAACTCAAATAGTGAAACTCATGTATTATATACATTCAGTACACACAGAATGAAGTAGTTTAAGCCATTGGGTCTTTTAATTGTGATGATTTTGCTCACATTTAACAAAAACCTACCAAATCACTATCTCAATAAATTAGAATATTGTGACATGCCACTCAGCTAGTCAACTCAAAACACCTGCAAAGGTGTCCTGAGCCTTCAAAACGGTCACTCAGTTTGGTTCACTAGGTTTCATGGGGAAGACTGCTGATCTGCCAGTTGTCCAGAAGACAATCATTGACACCCTTCACAAGGAGGGTAAGCCACAAACATTCATTGCCAAAGAAACTGGCTGTTCACAGAGTGCTGTATCCAAGCATGTTAACAGGAACTTCACAAGGACTGAGGCTGGGGTCAAGGCATAAAGGGCCACCACACACCGCCATGTCAAGGAATTTGGCTACAGTTGTCGTATTCCATTCCATTCCTATTCCTCTTGTCAAGCCACTCCTGAACCACAGACAATGTCAGAGGTGTCTTAGCTGGACTAAGGAGAAGAAGAACTGGACTGTTGCCCAGTGGTCCAAAGTCCTCTTTTCAGATGAGAGCAAGTTTTGTATTTCATTTGGAAACCAAGGTCCTAGAGTCTGGAGGAAGGGTAGAGAAGCTCATAGCCCAAGTTGCTTGAAGTCCAGTGTTAAGTTTCCACAGTCTGTGATGATTTGGGATGCAATGTCATCTGCTGGCCTTGGTCCACTGTGTTTTTTGCAAACCACAGTCACTGCACCCGTTTACAGAACTTCATGCTTCCTTCTGCTGACCAGCTTTTTAAAGATGCTGATTTCATTTTCCAGCAGGATTTGGTGACTGCCCACACTGCCAAAAACGCCAAAAGTTGGTTAAATGGCCATGGTGTTGGTGTGCTTGACTGGCCAGTAAACTCACCAGACCTGAACCCCATAGAGAATCTATGGGGTATTGTCAAGAGGAAAATGAGAAATGAGAAACAAAATAATGCAGATTAGCTGAAGGCCACTGTCAAAGAAACCTGAGCTTCCATACCACCTCAGCAGTGCCACAGACTGATCACCTCCATGCCATGCCGCAGTAATTAAAGCAAAAGGTGCCCCTGCCAAGTATTGAGTACATATACAGTAAAAAAACAAACATATTTTCCAGAAGGCCAACAATTAACTAAAAAGGTTTTTATAGGTCTTATGAGGTATTGTAATTTATTGAGAGAGTGAATTGGTGAGTTTTTGTTAAATGTGAGCAAAATCATCACAATTAGAAGACCCAACGGCTTAAACTACTTCATTCTGTGTGTACTGAATGTATATAATACATGAGTTTCACTATTTGAGTTGAATTACCAAAATAATTGGACTTTTCCACGATATTCTAATTTATTGAGCTGCACCTGTATATAACAAAGGTTGATAAAGGAGAATGGCTTGGATAATAAGGACTTGTAATAATTAAGAAACCTTAACTTCTAAAGAGTAGAGTTGTTGTTTAGCTTAAAGTTACTTTTGATCTGTGAAGTAAAAGATGTTGGTATGTGCAAGTCTCCACTTAGATTTAAGAAGTGATATGTTATCTTCAGTTATCAACAGTTTCTTCACTAGTTCCACATTGAGAGGTTTAGAAATGTTACAGCTCAACTGAAATAGAAATGTAAAAGTACACAAAAGGAACAGTTGATATTACACAAATAAATGGGCCAAAGAATGGGTGAGTATATTTGCTGCTTTTCACTTACAGTAACAGAAAGCATAATATTTTTGTTGCCAGCATTTTGTGTGTTATATGTGTTTGTTTCATTAATACCAGTGCCAATCTCAGATCTGTTCCAGAAAGCCATCATCCAAAGTGGCACAGCGCTGTCCAGCTGGGCGGTCAACTACCAACCTGCCAAGTACACACGAGCCCTGGCTGAGAAGGTGGGCTGCAACATGTTGGACACCACTGACCTGGTGGAGTGTTTACAGAACAAGAACTACAAGGAGCTGATAGAGCAGTACATCACACCAGCAAAGTACCATATTGCCTTTGGGCCTGTTATTGATGGTGATGTGATCCCAGATGACCCTCAGATTCTCATGGAGCAAGGGGAGTTCCTCAACTATGACATCATGCTGGGTGTTAACCAAGGGGAGGGGTTTAAGTTTGTAGATGGCATTGTGGACAGTGAGGATGGGGTGTCTGCTAATGATTTTGACTTTGCTGTTTCGGACTTTGTGGACCATCTTTATGGCTACCCAGAGGGCAAGGACACTCTGCGAGAGACCATCAAATTTATGTACACAGACTGGGCAGACAAGGAGAACCCGGAGACCCGGCGTAAGACTCTGGTGGCTCTCTTCACTGATCACCAGTGGGTGGCACCAGCAGTGGCCACAGCTGACCTACATGCCCAGTATGGGTCACCCACCTACTTCTATGCTTTCTACCACCATTGTCAGAGTGACATGAAACCCAGCTGGGCTGACTCGGCCCATGGTGATGAAGTGCCATATGTGTTTGGAATCCCTATGATTGGTCCCACAGATCTGTTCAACTGCAATTTCTCCAAGAATGATGTGATGCTGAGCGCTGTCGTCATGACCTACTGGACTAACTTCGCTAAAACAGGGTGAGTGCTCTATTATCTTTTTCTTTTTTGGGTTCCTGCATTTTCATTCTGTGCTATCATTCATTTCAGAATTTGCTTTTATGTCTAAAAATTCTCTCTCCTTTCCACAGTGACCAGAAATCATTTACTCACCATAGTCTAAGACCTTGCCTCATAATGACTATGTTTTGATGTATCTTCACTAGCAAAGGTTACTGATGCCTATGTATGCAAGGTTTAAAGGTTCATTTTATTCAGTGATAAAATCATGGAAACTACAGCCTAAATGAACCAATGCTAATTAGGAAACCTAAGAAATAAATAACCACAGAATAAAACCATAGATCAAAACATCACAGAACTATATTTCACTACAAAACTGTTAAAGGCGTGAAGAAAATTCCATTAAAATCTGGCTTTATTTCCATACTTTTGACTATGTTGTTGTATGTCTTGATGGAAAAGCATTGTTTAGTGATTCGGTCCAAATTGAAAAAATGGTTACTATTTTACACAGTACACCATCTAAAAAACAAATATATGTACTGTGATGTATTTGAAGTGGTTGATTTACAGTATATAGCACATTTCATACAGAGAAGAAATTCAAAGTGCTTTACATAGGCAAAGAGAAACCTTGACAGCATTAAAAACAGTAAGCACCAAAATCGATTAAACATAAAACATTGATTACATGAAATAAAATACATAAACTGAAACTAAAAACAAACAGAAAATAAAAGGTCAGAAAGATGATAACAGAGCAGATACAGTGTAGTAATAAGTTGTAGGTTGCCCCAAATGCAACATAAAACAAAATTTTGTTTAAACAGTCACAATAAATATGGCTCTAGCCTTCTGTATTTATTGAAAAAAAAGATCCCAGTGATTTACAAGTAGTCATTTACTAGTCGCTCTAGTAATTTTACCAGGAAAAAACAAGGATATCATTTAAGAAATGAAGCAAAGTAGTGTCAGCTAAAAAAAACATCTACACTGTAAGAGGGCAGAAAGCAGATTGTATCAAGTATGAAAGGCTGCATAACCATGAGGAAAGAGAACACCAAACCTAATTGACTTTAGACCTACTAGTTTATATGGATATGGCAAGTGCCAAGATCTTGACCTATAATAACCTTAATAATGTCTGGTAAGTCTTGATGAGCTGTGTTATGAACAGATTTTGGATTACATAGGTATGTACTGTTAAAAGTTTACAGTGTGGGAAAATATGGATTCATCCACTGACTTCATGGTAACATTTCAAACTACCAAAAGCATGATGAGAACGGCAAGGCCAAAAGCATGATGACAATGGCAAGGCCAGAACATATTCATAACAGAAAAAAGAAAAGCATTATTAGCTTTTTAACAGTACTTGCATGTAAAATGTCCCATCAACATGGTTCTTGCAATATAAAACCTGCCAAAAAACAGTTTTTACATAATAAGCTTCCATATACAGTGCCTTGCGAAAGTATTCGGCCCCCTTGAACTTTGCGACCTTTTGCCACATTTCAGGCTTCAAACATAAAGATATAAAACTGTAATTTTTTGTGAAGAATCAACAACAAGTGGGACACAATCATGAAGTAGAACGAAATTTATTGGATATTTCAAACTTTTTTAACAAATAAAAAAACTGAAAAATTGGGCGTGCAAAATTATTCAGCCCCTTTACTTTCAGTGCAGCAAACTCTCTCCAGAAGTTCAGTGAGGATCTCTGAATGATCCAATGTTGACCTAAATGACTAATGATGATAAATAGAATCCACCTGTGTGTAATCAAGTCTCCGTATAAATGCACCTGCACTGTGATAGTCTCAGAGGTCTGTTTAAAGCGCAGAGAGCATCATGAAGAACAAGGAACACACCAGGCAGGTCCGAGATACTGTTGTGGAGAAGTTTAAAGCCGGATTTGGATACAAAAAGATTTCCCAAGCTTTAAACATCTCAAGGAGCACTGTGCAAGTGATAATATTGAAATGGAAGGAGTATCAGACCACTGCAAATCTACCAAGACCTGGCCGTCCCTCTAAACTTTCAGCTCATACAAGGAGAAGACTGATCAGAGATGCAGCCAAGAGGCCCATGATCACTCTGGATGAACTGCAGAGATCTACAGCTGAGGTGGGAGACTCTGTCCATAGGACAACAATCAGTCGTATACTGCACAAATCTGGCCTTTATGGAAGAGTGGCAAGAAGAAAGCCATTTCTTAAAGATATCCATAAAAAGTGTCGTTTAAAGTTTGCCACAAGCCACCTGGGAGACGCACCAAACATGTGGAAGAAGGTGCTCTGGTCAGATGAAACCAAAATCGAACTTTTTGGCAACAATGCAAAACGTTATGTTTGGCGTAAAAGCAACACAGCTCATCACCCTGAACACACCATCCCCATTGTCAAACATGGTGGTGGCAGCATCCTGGTTTGGGCCTGCTTTTCTTCAGCAGGGACAGGGAAGATGGTTAAAATTGATGGGAAGATGGATGGAGCCAAATACAGGACCATTCTGGAAGGAAACCTGATGGAGTCTGCAAAAGACCTGAGACTGGGATGGAGATTTGTCTTCCAACAAGACAATGATCCAAAACATAAGGCAAAATCTACAATGGAATGGTTCACAAATAAACATATCCAGGTGTTAGAATGGCCAAGTCAAAGTCCAGACCTGAATCCACTCGAGAATCTGTGGAAAGAACTGAAAACTGCTGTTCACAAATGCTCTCCATCCAACCTCACTGAGCTCGAGCTGTTTTGCAAGGAGGCATGGGCAAAAATTTCAGTCTCTCGATGTGCAAAACTGATAGAGACATACCCCAAGTGACTTACAGCTGTAATCGCAGCAAAAGGTGGCGCTACCAAGTATTAACTTAAGGGGGCTGAATAATTTTGCACGGCCAATTTTTCAGTTTTTTATTTGTTAAAAAAGTTTGAAATATCCAATAAATTTCGTTCCACTTCATGATTGTGTCCCACTTGTTGTTGATTCTTCACAAAAAATTACAGTTTTATATCTTTATGTTTGAAGCCTGAAATGTGGCAAAAGGTCGCAAAGTTCAAGGGGGCCGAATACTTTCGCAAGGCACTGTGTATATATATATAAAACACCACTGACATGCAAGTAGAAGGCTTCTGAGGAGTCTATATTTCTTTTAAAGCCTACAGAGATATACTTGATTCTCCAAACACAGGCTTGGGGCGGGGTATCAACAAAAGATTTTGATATAATGATTATTGTTTTAATGATCAACTCAGAATTCAGTGACATCAAGTGGAGGTTAATAAAACAGGTCAAATTCCCCACTGCTGCTACAGCAGTGCTGGATTTGATGAGAGGATTTGCTTGTGGTTTATATTTGAATCACGTTTTTGTTTCATGCACCTTGAGATTAGGTATCATGGTGTTTGCAGCCCAGTCATACTGAAAATTCACTTTATGGTGAATAAATAAAGTCTTGATCAGCTTCATAGGCTGTAGTGTTCACTCCCTATCTGTATTTTTCCCATTAAGTTGATGCCTAATCAGTAGAGGATTAGCGGCCTTAGAGACTTTTTCGGAAGGTGCTGTTTACTTGCTGCTATTTTCAGTGTGCTTCCAATATAGCACTGATTGAAAGGAAATTTATCACTGGGAGTGTGGCTATTTTCAGTCTGCTTTCCCCAAGTTTTAAAGAGTGGCCCATTATGAATCATGGCAAATTGTTTTGTTGTTGTTGTTGTTTTTTTTTTTACTTTTCTTAATCCCAAGTACAAAAAAACTGGACAGCATGGATGGATACACAATGTGACCTGTGTACCTGTAATTTTGTATTGGCTTGTATAGGTGTACTGTTATTATTCTGGCACTCAACATGTGGTGGCTTGCACAAAGCAACACAAGACTGATACAATTATAATAAATTTATATTTATTATAGTGCGGTGATTAGCGCTGTCGCCTCACAACAAGAATGTTCTGGGTTCAAGCCCCAGCTGACCTGGGGCCTTTCTGCGTGGAGTTTGCATGTTGTCCCTGTGCTTGCGTGGGGTCTCTCCAGGTACTCCGGCTTCCCCCCGTTAACTCCCACACTGGCAAGTCTAAATTGCCCATAAAAGTGAGTGTGGCTGTTTGTTACATGGCAACCTGTCCAGGGTGTACCCTGCCCCTTGCCCAGTGTCAGCTGAGATTTGCTTCAGCCCCTCCCATTAGGGCTACCATTACAATATTAAATGTACACAATAATACATCAACAAATATAGTCCAGTAATATGATATACATGAATGTTTACTGAATACTTTTACTTTTGGCACTTTAAGTATATTTTATGCTAATACTTTTGCAATTTTACTTAAGTAGCCATTTGAATGCAGGACTTTTCCTTGTAACAGCATTTTTGTACTGTGGTATTGCTACTTTTATCTAAGTAAACAATGAGTACTTCTCCCACCACTGCAATTGGTGATGACTAACCGACAACAGATGACTGGCAAAACCAAATGTCATTTTAGTGTATTACAGTTAAGTTGAAACAATTCCAATTTTTATTCTGTCATAAAAGACTTGCCGAAGCATAAATGTGTTCATGAGTGTTACATTAAATTTAATGTTTAATGCAGTATTATCCAGAAGTCTATTTTTATTACTTTTACATTTTTAATGAGAGTTTTTCATTGTTACTACCCTTGTTTTGATTATACTGATAAAACACAATATTGCAGGTGATGGGAGGCCATTACAAACGCCGATAGTCATACGTATGTATCATTCTATAGAAGAAAATATTAGTCAGCTAGTGGAAAAGGGACAGACAAAATAAAATCATTCCTTTAACCTATATATTTATTATTGAAAGGTCTCTATGAAAAACTGTGTTTTTCACAAACATTTATAGCTGCTCTTCCTGGACTCCATGTTAACAAAATACACTATTACAGTAAAACGGAACAAATACTTGTTAGTGTTGATGGTGTCATATTTTTGTTATTTGTGTTTTGTTTGTGTAATGTATTCATTTGGTTCCCAGACTGAAAAATGGA